CAGATACTTACTACCAGTTAGACGTCTCCGAAAGCCCATTCGAACAATGTTGTTTTATCGTTAATAAAAGGAAGGAAAGTTTCAAGATTTTTATTGTTTCCTATTTGCGATAATCTCGATATATCATGTGATGAACAGGTGTAGACACAGACAGTAAGACTGGATTACTAGAGAAATTTCCTCATTTGTATTCCCATTTTTCATGTCATATTTCCTACTATGGGAAAACTAAGAAAACTACTCCTATATATAGGGACCTAAGAATTACAAGTCAAAATGATCATTGCATCAAACTGAACTGGAACTCGTACCTATTTTTTTCAGGGTTGTAAAAAAATCAACTCCAGATACCAACCAGGTCATTTCATAAAGAAAATTCAGTCGAATAAAATTAACTTCGAGAATCATAGCCACTGAATCAAAATGCAACGGCTAATGTTCATTTTTTCTGTGACGGGAAAAGAGTTTGGCATTTCATCTCTGTTGGCAGGTTATAAAATGTCACTTTTCATAAATTACTTTTTTCCCGTGGGAACTAATTTTCAATCGAAACTTCTCACGTCAAAATATCAGCTTTTTAAAAAAACTCGGGGCGGTTTTTGTTCGTTGAAATCTCTTCTTTCTGATAATGTAAAAAATATATCATCACTATATAGTAAATAATCTCAGGAAAGCAAAGAAAAGAAAATAACTTGAATCCGAATTTTCCTTTAATCACTATGTTAGTTGTTCTAAATATTAAAGATAGGACTTAAAGGGGGGATTTCAATAAAAAAATGTGATTGCTGCAATTTTTTCAGTCAAAAAGTTGACATTTATGTCATAGAAATTCTCATATATCAATAGAAATGTAAGTCGTACTATTGAATTTAGATACTTTATATACTGATTAATATTGTTCATAATAATATCTTCAAATGCATTATTCTTCTAATTTATAAATCTTATCTAGAACCCTAATCACTTATCCATTACTTTTCGTCTCTTCTGTGGCATTTCTTCATCGTTGTATTAGACAAAGCTTCCCGATTCTAGTAGATTTTCGGAATTGTCAAGACCATCACCGTCTTCGTATCCAATATTATTTTTAGTCTGAATTGGTCCTTCATCTACAATTTCCTCTGAATCACTAACTTCCTGGTAGATATTTCCGTCCACATTGGTGCATTTTTCAGAACCATGACAATTTTTGCATAAATTCGTGCATTTTAAGCCATGTTTTTAGCAGCCGACGGTGATGGTCCTGAAGATTTCAAAGATCAACTAGAATCGGGAAGGTTTGTCGAATCTAACGATGAAGAAATGCCATCGAAGAGACAAAAAGTGATGAATAAGTGATTAGGGTTCAAAATAAGCTTTATGAATAAGAAGATAAATGCATTTGAAAATATTTTTATGAATAATAATAATCAGTATAAAATATCTAAATTCAATAGTAAGATTTACATTTCTATTCATATATGAGATTTAATATGACATAATAGTATATTATGTAACAAGTGTTATAAACGTCCTTTTAGTAACGAGTAGTATAAGCACGAGCGGGGCAGAGCGGAGCGAGTGTTTAATAAACGAGTGTCTAGAATAATTTATAAACGCGTTACATACTATGATTTTTCTACGAACTCCGAAAATTACATTGACATACCTGCTATTCCTGCTAACCTACAAAATAATTCGAAAGGAATGGGAATTGAGAACATAATACATGCAACTGCATGCAACCAGCGAGACACGTATAAGTGATATTGGTTGTAGATATGTGTCCAGTCCATTGCTTACTAACCTTTGTTTCACGTTTATTGTCATGCTTAGCGCAGAACAAATAAATTGTTCTCAAAGATGGATGCTTCATTTTTACACTTCTTGGAGATATGCAAGTACCAGAACATTTTCTTCGATTCCACTTTCGTCTACTTTTCGCATACATTTTTAATGAAGAATTCTGATACAAACGAATATTGTTTGAATAATTCTGATAAAAAATTCGAAAATAACAGTTGACAGTTAATACAATTGACAGGCCAGACATGTCCCAAATTACTGAAGCTGTGTTTAATGAACTGCGTTGCCATGGTAATGTGTTTAAGAAATCGTGTTGCCATGGTAACGTGTTTGATATTTTGAATAAATCACAGATCGACAATCCGTGAAATCGATCATTTAGCGTGGTACATATCCGTACGAATGCCATTTTAGTTATGTGAGTCGAAAAATGTAATTAGAATTTAATAAATCAACTTTTTGCCAATAAAAAACTGCAGCAATCTCATGTTCTTATTGAAATCCCTCCTTTAAATCCTATAACAACTATTTTCGCATGATTCTTGCAATCTTCTTCTGATTCATGGATTTGTAACTTTTTTGTTATCCAATTTTATATAGAATCTGACATTTTTCAAGTAATTGAAGTGAACATTTCACAAGATAGCTCAAAATTGTACATAGTGAATAAAAAAAAATCGGATTCGAGTTTTTTTCTTTTCTTTGCATTTTCTGAGAACATCTACAATAGTAATGTAAATATTTTTTCATATTATCAGAAAGAAGAGATTTCAACGAACAAAAAACAACCCGAGTTTTTACAAAAAGCTGATCTTTTGACGCGAGAATTTTCGATTGAAAATTAGGTTGTTTTTTCGATATTAAGTCAATATAAGGTGAAAAAATATATAGTCCTAATCAAAAAAATTACAGTGTCTTTAGGACATAAAAAGTAAGTTTTGACCAAATTTCGTGAAATTTTTTTTGTGCATAAGAAATATAAAAAACCAAAAACTTGATTATTTGAATTTTTCACATAAATTTTGAGGTTATGTAAAAAAAGTGTGATCACAAAGGTTGTAGGTCTCTTTATTACCTACAACTTTGCTATTCAACTCTTTTCCATAGGGCTCGTAGTTTTGCTGGAAATCAAGATAAACCGCTTTTCACCCTTGGAAACTCACCCCCTACCATTTCCCGACCTCAGATCACCCGCAATTTATTTTCCCTTTCATCTTTGTTATATTCTCTTTCTTTTTCAAAGAGTTTCATCCTACTATGATTTTTCTTCACATTGTACCGTTTTCAAAGGCTGATCTTCTGCGATCTTAGCAAGGCATTTGATTGCGTTCAACACGACATCCTATTTCCAAATTATATACGTACGGAATACGAAGAGTAGCTTTAGAATGGATCACATCTTTCGTCAAGAACAGACGACAATATGTATCAATAAACTTCAAAGAAAATACTTCTTACCGTAGAGTAAATTCTGACTACCAAGCTGTTGGTGTAGGAGTCCCTCAGGGATCTGTTTTGGGACCTATTTTGTTTCTATGCTATATCAATGAACTGGATAGTCTCACCAATAATTCGCATTATGTTATTTATGCTGATGATACTACTATACTCATATCAGACAAAAATGACGATAATCTATCGGAACACTGCCACAACGTTATGGATACAGTGATCTCTTGGTGTAGTGTTTACTCACTCCTCTTTAATGTAGAAAAAACTAACGTAATGAGATTTCATCATCGGCAAAAACGTTGTTCAAATATATATAGATACACAGATATATCTGTGCATGGTGATCTGCTGGGAAATGTTGATGAGTTAACATTCGTAGGAATCGGCATAGATGAATGTTTAACATGGAAATACCATTGTAACAAATTGATAAAGAATTTAAATTCTCTCTGTTATATGTTTCGGAGTCTAAAAACAATGCTTACAGAAGAACAGCTGTTGTTGGTCTATCATGCTCAAGTTTCCTCCCGAATCCGCTATGGTATAAATTTTTGGGGTAACTCTACTCTATCACCGTCAACAATCTTGCCGAAATATTTTTAATAGCCTTAACATTTTAACTGTCATTGGTGTTTTTGTATTTGAATTATGTGTTTATGAATTTTTGAAAAAAGAAAAATTCATTACTAATAGGAATATACATGGTATAAGTAGTACAAGACAATGTGACAATTATCACATTCCAATGTGTAAATATGAGATTACACGTAACTCTCCCAATTACTTTGGACTCAAAGTTTTCAATAAACTTCCCAGTCGATTGAAAAACTTCAAAAAACTCAGTCATTTCAAAACGAACTTGAAGCAATGGGCTTATATCACAAAAAAATTTTATTTCATAATTCGATAGAACTCACCCAAACTAGCTTCCCACGTTTTGTAAAAAATTATTGAAATCCCCGATTTTTCGGACCTCTGACAACGAGGCGATGATATGACGTCGAAACCCTAATACTGAAACAAGACTATTCCAGACAGAGATGAATGATACATGATTTCTGACAGAGTGAATTAGCGCGAGATCACAGTTGAAAGAATTAATATATCAGTTGCCTCAGTTTCCGTCGGGCGTTTGGTATTTTCTTTTAACTATGGCGAGATGAGGTTTCTACGTCATAAGAGGGTCCGTTTTAAGGAGGTACTATTATTTATGTCCAGAAATTAAACATTCCAGTTAATTTTTCGATCGAATTATATCGTCAATCATTATTTATGTATAAAAGGATCATTATAAACATGGTTTGAGTTAAAAGTTCTACTAAGGTGTACACGCCCATTCCTAGCGGAAATGAATCCCTATACTTTAGAAGAATATTTTTCGGCAGCCTCTAGTCTTTTTGTTTCTGTCTCTGTAATATCTAAATATTATCATTTTATCTTATGTCTGTCTCAAACTGTCTAGTTTTAAGCCTTCAATCTGACGATTCCTATACATGTAAAAATGTCTAATGGAAAATGAACGTATTGTATTGTATTGTCTATGTGACTTCGAAAAGCGGAAACCTGAGTGAAGAAGACGACACTAATGCCACTGATGATGCTGTATACAGCTGTGATTGCTGTGAACGACAAACAAGTACAAAACGAGAAATTCAATCTGCTACCTCGCTGACCCATATTCACCGATCTCGGGCACCATGCATTGTCCAACGAAAGAAAATAAAGATTTTGCGGAAGCGCTCTGGCACACCGTCAGGCGTGGCGGCGAACCGGTAGATGGGTAGATGGTACCAGTACCAGTACTATAATCTATCTGTGGTACCGCGTGTGTATGTCAGAGTCAGAACGTCCGTTCGACTGGCTTGCATCGCATGCAGTTTCCATTGACGCGCGCTCCGAAGGAAACATACCGGCGGATGGTGGATGACGAGTCGCGGATAATTTTGTGATGTGTGATTTTTTTTAGAATATTGAGAAATGGAGCAGTTCCACTGGAACAGGAGGATGGTGCTCCCCAAACGGTACGATTTTTTTAAATACCAGTGTTACCATACTCGTTATATTATCTACAGCGTACTCAACCTCATTCAAATGGAACACACTGTATATTTACATATTCTTTGTTTATCTTGGTCATTAGATATACGAATATGGTATACGGTTGAATACTGGTGAAGTTTCGCGTTTTCACGCCAACTAATAATGTGAAAAGAACAAAAAATACAGATAATTTCCATTTTTCTCTTCATCCATTCAGCAGAAAATCAATCCAGTTAGCCATTTTCTACCAAGAAATTGTCGGAGTAGTTGATTAACGAAGAATTCGAAAAATTTTAATGTCATTTGTTCTAGAAATTGAAAAAAAAAAAATCATTTCTACATATTTTTTTGAAATTTTGTCTACTTGTTAATATAAATTCAGAATTAAGTATATTATTTCAATATAGGTACGTGTTTGTAGTGGGAACAAATCATTTTGTGTTTTCTAACCCTCTCAGAAACAAATCAGATAATTTGCCCCAAAATGCCACTGCGTTCAAATATTTTACTATCAGAGAGCGTAAAAGAAGAATCGAATCGATAATTATCAGACACCTTGTTTTGAAAAGTATTTGAAGTAGAAAAATAAATATGGAAATACCGACAAATGAAAAAAACACATCAGATTGCTCTGAAATTTCTATATAAAACTGTTTCATACGGAAAATACACTCAGTTCAAAAAAAAGTGACGCACTTGATATTCGACCTATCTTCTAAAAGAAAAAAAAAATAGTAGACCGATTTCCATTTATTTTATTTGTTGGTAGGTGATGCATTTGTCTTTGAATGAAACTGAGAAGGTGAAAATTTTTTCAATCTTAATTTTTGACTCACCCTGTGTGTTAATTGAGTAATGGCATGGAAAGTGCTTGCACCCTATACGAAAGAGGCTTCTTTTGCGAGCATTTTGTTTTTTTATTCATTGATTCATCTCTGAAATTTTCCGAATTACAGCTTTTTTTGCTGAATCTTGCAGATTACCAACTTTCTGAATTTATCGAGAAACAATTTTCTAATGAAATAAACTGATACCAATAATTTCAAAAAACATTTTTATTAAACACAAAATTATAAATTGGGATGACAGCTTGATACCGTGTATTGCCTCCTCTAGCAACTCTAAGAACTTCTAATCTACGAGGCATACTGGAAATTAAGTTGCTTATCGTTTCCATTGGTATACGATCCCATTCTTCCACTAATGCATCTGCCATTTCTGCGAGACTTTCCGGAGACCTCTCGCGAGAACGTACCCTTCTTCCTAATTCATCCCACAAATGTTCTATAGGATTCATATCGGGGCTTCTCGCAGGCCATTATAATGTGGCGAAGATCTTGCTGAAGATTTACCGCAGTATCTGATCGATTCCGTGAAATCCGCAATCTCAAGAAGCGATCATCTCTTGGAGAAGTTTTTCGGGGGCGACCAGAACCAACCCTCCGTACGGTGCTTCCTGTTTGTTCGTACTTGCGGATTGCTCTACGAGCAGTTGCTTCATGAACTCCCACTGCACGAGCGGCGTAACGTTTACTACGCCCATCGTTTACTAACGCAACTGATCTTGCTACTTGTTCAGGATTCATTTGAGGCATTTTATGTAATTTTAGTCAATAAAACAAGACACTTAATTAATGACACAACGACAAATGGTCAAATATGGAGACATACAACAAATTAGTTGCTATGGCAACGGCATTTGTTTTTTTTTAAAGAGAATGTGATCCTACCAGAGTACAACCCAATCAATTTTGAGTACTCTGATCCTTCAATAAATTTAATTTGTGGGATAAGCGTAAGGTATCAGCAAAAAAGCTGTAATTCGAAAAATTTTAGAGATAAATCAATGATTGAAAGAACAAAATGTTCGCAAAAGAAGCCTCTTTCGTATAGGGTGTAAACACTTTGTATACCATTACTCAATTAACACACAGGGTGAGTCAAAAATTGAGAATAAATCATGGTTCGAGTTATTCCACCACCATCAAGGAGGCTTTGAAAAAATGTTCACCTCTTTATTTTTTTTAAAGACAAATGCATTACCTACCAACAAATGAAAAAAAATCGGCCTACTATTTTTTTTTAAGAAGATAGGTCAAATATCAAGTACGTAATTTTTTTTGGAACTGAGTGTAGTTCACTAACTACTTCATTATTGCGGGATTACGGAATATCCAAAAAAATACGAAATCTAATCGAGATTGGATAATTTTCCGAGATAACAAGCGATCAGATCCAGTTGTAAGTTGCCCCGTTATCCAAACTCAAACAATAGCATGACGTTCTCTTAGAATGTTTCAGCAAATTGCGTGTGCCTCTCACCGAAACGAATTGTTATAGTATGTCGTACACCTAGGATATGGCGTTTCAATTCGAAAAACTTTTTCCAATCACCATCAGCATCCAATACAAAATAATATAATCAATTCTTCTACCGTATCCGGTCGTTTCTCACGATTCGAAATTAATATGCTGGTTGGTGCAGGGTCATCATCAATGATTGTCATTACCGCTCATAATTAAATTTATTATACAGGGTGTCCTACAGCTAGAAGGAGAACAGATATCTTGATTATTATTATTATCTCGCATCAAAGAAAAATTACGGGTCAAATTTTGACTTACCTATACGAGACCAAAACGCCACTCAAACTTTAAATTCTTTCGAAGAATCCATTGGGAACCACCCGAAACTAATGGCGCCGTCTAAAAATTACAGAGAAATTAATAATATAGTTATTCATGTATCGAGGGCATAAAGTAACATTGCAAAAAAATATATCGCTGTTATATCGCAGAGAAGTTATCGCAATGACGTCGCATGGATGGAACTTGAGTGGGACAAAATAACATCCCTCTGACATCGCAGCGACGTCTTTGCGACACAGAATGTGATATCGCAGGTCACAATTGTTACATAGCCGTGATATCTCTGTGATGTAACTGTGTTTGCTGGGCGGTCGTGCATAAGATATTGTATGAATCGATTTCAAGCTGTATATTTCATCAACAAAGTATCTGAATTCAGAGATGTGATTCGGTGTTCCACAAGGTTTCGTTTTGGGCCCTTTACTGTTCATAATCTATATCAATGGCCTATGTCCATCTATGACTCCATACGATAGTATCCTATTCGCAGATGACACAACATTGATTTATTCTCAAGAAGAATATGATTCCCGAAATTCTCTACCTTATCGCGAACAAACTGAAACTGAACAACGAAAAAACACAGAAACTCTTCATCACTACTACCCCGTCCTTACAAGAAAATGGAGAAGTAAAACTTTTGGGTCTGACTCTAGAAACGATAAGCTGAATTGGTCGGCTCACGTCAGGCAACTAAATATGAAACTATCTAGCTCACTTTTCAATTCGCGACAACTTAGACGCATCACTAACACTACTACTCTCAGAACGGTATGTTTTTCTTTAATTCAGTCCCAACTCAATTACGGAATTTTAATTTGGGGTAACTCATCGGCAGCTTCTACTGTCTTCAGACAGCAAAAGAAGGCCATTAGAATCTTGAGCAATGCAAATTATAAAGAATCTTGCAGACCTCTTTTCAAGAAATTCAAAATCTTCACTTACCCGTCACTCTTCATCTGGAAAGTTAACATTATGAGAATTTATTTATTTAATTATTTATTTATTTATAATATAACTAAGTGATTAGAACAAAAAAGTTATACAAAGTATCAGTTAGGAACTGAGTTAAGAATAACACGTTTGAACTATGCAAATGATGAAAATATCGACACTAGAGATATTGTTTAAACTTCGAACAGGATAATTACCTACCATGCCTTTTATGAAATGCAAATTTCAAAAATTTCCTCTGAACATTCTCAATAGCTGAAATATATTTACCATAAGACGGATTCCAAACAACACCACAATAATCAAGCTTACTTCTGACCACAGTTTAAGGAAAGATATATGCTTTTCAGAGAATCAAATGATTTGAAGTCTTTACAGTTTCGTATCATAAAACCTAAATTTTCCATTGAAGCTGAAATTATATGACCAATGTGATAAGAAAACGTAAGTTTTTGATCAAATATGACTCCTAAGTCTTTCGATTCAGTGACTCGCACTACAATATTGTCATCAAGCTTAAAGTTTAAGGTGACTGGAACAACTTTTCGAGTTAATGCTATAACTTTACATTTTTTAATATTCAATTGAAGTTTGTTCTGGAAGCACCAGTGACTTAGAGAATTCAAGTCTCCATGCAATGCGATCCATTTATCTTCAATTCCTCTGTGAATCTTCATATCATCAGCAAATAAAAGTTTTCGGGATAGGATATGATCGACAATATCGTTTATGAAAATCAGAAAAAGTAAAGGTCCAAGATTTGATCCTTGAGGGACACCTGAAGATACCGTAAAGCAGGAAGATATAGGAGAATAAGAATTACTCGAATACCATCAAAATATCTACAAGGTTGAATGGAACTTCTCGACATAGGTTTATTTCCGGTAACACCGGAAATAATATTCATTGGGTTTTTCATGGAAATATGGATTTTTAAGGAACTATATCTTCGATCCAAATGTCAAAAGCCAAATATAAAAAATAAACAAACAAATGACGCCCTGGCCAATAATTTCGTTGTCACCTGGTTGCAATTATCCCAGCGAGCACAAACATCCCTGGGATGTTTTGGGATGTTTTGAAAATGTTGGCATGAAGATGTTATTTTGAGATGTAATATGCACTGACCAAAGAGGTCTTTGAAGGATATTGAAGTATTGTTTTTGTTTTTCTGTGGCATTTCTTTGTTTGCCTACTGAGAGGTATCCCTGGGATGTTTTGGGATGTTTTAGAAATGTAGGCATGAGGATGTTTTTTTGAGGCGTAATATGCACTTCCCAAAGAGGTCTTATATAGAAGGATATTGAAAGTATTGTTTTTGTTTTTTTGTGCCCTTTCTTTGTTTGCCCCACCACAACGTCTCATGCTTACGTCACAA